AAGAACATAATGACCAATATAGAAATTGTAAATGTTAATTTCATTACGTTTTAGTAAACTTTTTTAACTTATTTTAAGCTAGTACATGATAACAATCCCACTAGGTTGTTAGTGGTGATATAGATATAGCCCTAGATGGTAAATTGCACTGTATTAGTGTAATAAAAGCCAATACACTCTTGCCTTGAGATATCCAAATTGTAATCAACGTGGAAAAATTATTCTTCTCCATTGTTGTACGCATTACAAATATCACATAACGTATGTATGTGCACGTTGAACAAATGGGTCGGCTCGAGCGAGAAAGTGCCCCGCTCTTACAGAATAACAAATTAATATATCTGAATAATGTTGCTATATTTTGTATTAATCCTACTGTATGTGTATCAAGAATTGGAGGTATTATTCACCGATAATTGGGCAATCCATCTCAGTCCAGAGCGTTGACAATTTAACAGCATTTTGATTCTTAATCGAGGCCAATGTAAGTGCCTTTAGGCCACAGTATTCACTTATCATACGGTGGAATGTGTGCTGGTTTACCACCTTTACATATTCGATAAACATAAACATCTGGAACACAAGAGGGAAAGCAAAAACTTTTCCAGCCTTTTAGAAATGCGTAGGCTTTTCTTGAGGTTTAAATAAAATGCCCTTAGTAAAACCCCCCAAAGTGCCCAATAATGAGTAACTTTCAACGAAATTGCAACCCTTATAAGAATTAAATGACAATTAAAAGCTGAAGATACTCCTGGTTAACACTAACATCGGGACGTCAGTCACCTCAATCCCTCGTGACCGTGATGGGTGCTGCTGAAAAGCACCCGAATCGTCGGGAATTAAAAACTAAGTAAATTAAACGCGATAACATCCGTAAAAGTAGTTTAATTCAAGACATTTAAAAACATCAAGTTTTTACTTGATCAACGTTCAAAGTTACTGTTTGAGTCTTCAAACTCGCAAAATTCACTTTTGCAACATTGTAAAGTTTGCCATTTATTTTACTAAACTAACTTAAAATGACTGTAATATTGTAACGTCACCGGCAGTTTTTTGGGACCAATATGATTTAATTGCCTTCAAGAAATATTAAATAGTGGATGTTATGGGCTGATGAAAAAAAATGCTACTTCTTTTGGGCTTGAAAAATCATCAAATTCTTCCTACTGTGGAAGTGACATTTCAAAGTGTATTTGTATTAATCGTCATTCTTGATAGGCTGATTGAAGATCGCAGTACCAGAGGTTCCCTACTCGTACGTAATCGGTATGGATACAGTCACACCAACTATTGAAATCTTAAGATTTCCTTTGGTATAACACACCCCGTAGTTAATTTTTACGACACCCACGGGACGAAATGGGGCGATGGATTATATATGCCGCCACCACATGACACAAGAACCCATCACAAATATCCAGATCATCAGCTCTAAACGGCTTGCAATACCTGCAATTTCTCTGATTATGTAGGTAATATTAACAGTGGTACCTTGCACAGCAGAGCTGCATGCTCATTTGCTCCTCTTCTATAAAAATAGAAACAACTATGCAAAACATATTTTTCACGCCATCAAAATTTACTTAAAAAGTTAATATAAAACTCTTCTCTTCTCTGAACGTTATTGCCGGTGGTAAAATGCACTTACTGAAAACTTTCTCCATAGAGCTCTAGACATTTTGTCCTGAATCACTTACACGAAGTGAAAATTACGTGTTAGGCTACAGGTGAGACACCTAATTTATTTAAATATTTACACCCTTTTTTATGAATTCAAAAAGGTTCGTTTGAAATAATACTGTTTTTACGGAATTTATCGCGTATATTTAACTTTTTATTACCCGACGTTTCGAGAGCTTTACAGCACCCATGGTCACGGGAAGGACTGAGATGTTCAACGTCCAGCTGTCATAGTTAACCGCGGTTACCATAGATTAAAATTTAACTTTTGTTCCGATCTACACAGTATGAACTTATGGTATCATGGAGTCTTGCAGTTGTATGCTTGGGTTGGGATTTAATTTTATTTATTATAGGATCCCAAGCATATAAAGAACATATAGCTGATGTGAAGAATCGACGCTCCGGGAAGTCTGCAGTCTGTGAACATGTACAGGATCGCCCCCGTCACTACATCAGATTTGATAGACCACAAATCCTCGCTAAAGAACACCGATTCCTTCCAAGGATGATTCGCGAGGCTATTGAAATCAAAAAACATCCTAATTTCAATAGAGAAGATGGCTGGGTGCTACCATCTGCTTGGGATCCTATAATAAATAAAATTAAATCCCAACCCAAGCATACAACTGCAAGACTCCATGATACCATAAGTTCATACTGTGTAGATCGGAACAAAAGTTAAATTTTAATCTATGGTAACCGCGGTTAACTATGACAGCTGGACGTTGAACATCTCAGTCCTTCCCGTGACCATGGGTGCTGTAAAGCTCTCGAAACGTCGGGTAATAAAAAGTTAAATATACGCGATAAATTCCGTAAAAACTAGTATTATTTCAATGTGTAGTGTTTGCGTAAATATAAGAAATCATTATCAAAAAGGTTCGTTTATAAAACTGTTACAATAGCTTATGACAGGTTAAATTTTAGCCGACTACAAGAAGGAGGAGTTTTAAATTCAACGCGTATGTCTTTTATGTTTATTCACCGATTTCTCGGACACGGGTGCATCAATCTATTTTTCATTATAAGTATTAAAGTAACAAGTAAGATTTATGATCGATCCCATTAAATATAAGCAAAAAAATGCTCCTATTAATTGTGATGATATTTAAATGTCACAGTGTAAACGAAGGACTATTAAAAAAAGGAGGTCAACTGCGGTAGGCAACCGTGACAACATTGATAAAGGTCACCACTGTAAGACAATATTTGGGCAGGACTATGATTAGCTGTAGAATATTCATAGGCTGTAATCCATGAATGCATGTAGCTATAAACTATCACGCTAGTAAGAAATTTAAAACTTAGACTGGTTTCATATTTCATTAACTATACATAATATTATAAATTAACTATGCTACCTGAGTGCGCCGCTCTTGTCCGGTATTCGAGGATACTCTTAATAAATTTTGGGGAAATCTACATTGGATTAATAGGAAAATTTAAACTTTATTTCAGAAGAAAATATTGCGAACCTATGTATTAGTTCTTTAAATTCAATAAGCGTGACAAACTAGCACATAGTTCACTTAATGGTACGTGGATTCTGTAGCCTATAAGAATTTCTAACCACCTTCAATTAAGAATTGTCCCTCTACCTTCCTTTCCACCATCGGATGACCAAGCGGTCGGCGGGTCTTCACCCCTTTTTTCGATATTCCACGCATTGGAACCAAACGGTTTACTTTTACTTTTTAATGCGTACCACAAAGGAGTGGAATAATTTGCCGCCGTCTATCTTTCCGTCCGAAAACAATCTGAGTGCCTTTAAGGCAAGAGTGAATAGGCTTTTGCTACGCTAAGTCAGTGCGATTTACCATCTAAGGCTGCATCATCACTTACCATCGGGTGGGATTGTGGTCAAGCACTGGATTATTAAAATTAAAAAAATCTCCTGTTTTCTACGACATCACCATACGCAGTACAGTAGCATTAAGCTGCTATTTCCCATTCCTGCTGCAACCACATTATTATTCGTATAATATTTCTCCACCATAGCTTTACTACGTATCACAACTGACGTATATAAATAAAAAGTTAAAAATAAACAGAATTTTTAGTTTTGTTATATTTTTATTTTCATCATTAAAGAAACTATCACAGCATACAATTTCTTTAAATGTTACTCGCCATTACTTGACAATTGCCAAACTTACTAGACTTGCCTTAAGTTTAAAGAAAATGCTGTTACTCACTAACTATTTCAGTTTCCTTCTGTCGCCTTTACGACACTTACGGAAAGATATAAGCTAAGATAGTGGACTCACTTACGCCACCACTAACTTCCAAAGTATATTTGTATTTTTTTATATTTACGCGAATGTAACCCATTAATCCTATTGAATAACACTTCTTTTTCGGATTTTATCGCATTAATTTACTAGATTTTAATATCTAACTCTTGGATCTCGTAATCAATAAAATTAAAACTAAACCCCAGCTTACTACTGCAAGACTTTAAGAAACAAATGTTCATTCTGAGTATTTATTGATAGATGAATTGCAGAAAATTTTGATGTAAAAATAAAAAAAAATTCAAAAAATCTGTGCCATAGGCTTCTATTCCGTTTACCTGTTATACCCTATTATTTTTCAGACGGTAAAAAATAATAATCCAGTATACAAATTCACCCCGTACACATTTCTTCCCTATAGAGAAACCTATGGGATATGTCTACGTTCAACAGTTGGCTTTTTATCATAATTATGATAATTGTCGTCATCATCATCATCACAGCCCTTCACAAGACCATTGCTGAACATAGGCCTCCCCAAAGAATGCCACAAATCCAGGCCTGAGTCATCTGCTTCCATCGACTTCCTGCATGTTTTACCGGGTAGTTGCTCCTGTATGAGACTGCCACTTGAGAACGTTGCTTCTGCATCGGTTGTTAGTTCTTCGACCTATATAGCCGGCCCATTGCAACTATAGCTTAATTTCCATTGGGCTATATTGATTACCTTGGTTCTACTAACCTTGAGCTATCTCATATGGATGTAGTTACGGACGGCATACAGTCAACTTAAGCTGTTGTTTTTTTTTCTTCGTAAAAATAGTTTTTGAGTATAATTTCACTTGTTTGTGTCAAAATTAAGGTTCGGATATCTTAACTGAGCTGTGTTATCGTTGTGGACTGCAGTGGATAAGAAATAGTGTAAAAAAATTGTGTTTGTTTCACTGTGTAATTAATATTGTCTCCTCTCATTAAATCTCAGTGGAGGGTAGGCAGCACCTCAGAACCATCTGGTGAGCAGTAAGAAACAGTAACATTAACGACATTTTTCGGCATTTAATTAGTAATTAAAATAAATACGATATGGCAAAGTGCGGAGCTTGCGGCAAATTTCTCTCGTCGACAGGTGGCGTTAGTTGTACAGTTTGTCCAAATATATTTCATAGGGCATGTCTAATGGTGTCTGATGGAACAACGATAAGTAAAGATTGGGTGTGCCCGGAATGCAAAAAAAGTCAAGAAAGGGTGATAACAGCTGTAGAAAAGCTCCCTGTAAGAGGTATCTCCGAACACCCCTCAAGAACTTCAAGTGATCAGGAGCCCGCCATGCAGCGATGGAACTCAGAAGACTGCTTTGAACGATGTTGATTCCCCTGCACGAGAGCTTAGCCGCCAACTTGTTGCCTGCATGGTCGAGATGCGAGAACTCCGTAAGGAAATGGCAGAACTCCGTGCATCCGTTGCATGTTTCACGGAGCGAATGAATGGCTTTGAACGAAGGCTGGAGGTAATCGAGCAAATGCATACTCCTACCATAGTGGAGGTCAATGAGTTAGAGAAAACAGTTAATTTATTAAAGCAGGAGCTCTATGACCGGGATCAAGAGGCACTGTTTTCGGATCTTGAGATCGGACATCTACCCGAGGAGAAGGGGGAGAATATCATCCACACTATATCTGTCCTAGCAGTAAAGCAAGGGGTACCACTGGAAGAACGGGACGTCGTCTTTGCGGAGCGTGTTGGAGCGGCGCCACTGTCTCTGAGCGCTAGTACGGAAGGAGACGTAGCGATACGAGCGCGCCGCGTGGTGGTACGGCTGGCGCGGCGTAGCCTGCGCGACGAGTTGATGCGCGCTGCGCGCGTGCGTTGCTCAATCACTATCGCGGACATCGGGTTGGCCTCAACGCCTCTACGTAATTGAGCGCCTGACGAGGAATAATCGGCAGCTATTCCATAGGGTCCGTGAAGCCTGTCAAAAGCTTTCGTGGCGCTACTCCTGGACAAGAAGGGGTCGTGTCTACGCTCGCCAAGGAGAGGGAAAACCGGTTTACTGCATCCGCACAGGATGCTTTATTCGTGTTTTTCAGTCAAATATTGTTTGCATTAGCAGCTCTGCATAAAGTAAACAATATAAGTCAAAATATATTGATTATAAGAAAATTATTACTACTAGGATTTGTTATAAACATATTTTTAATTATTCATAATGTTATGTATACAAACATTTACATCTGTTATGGCTATAGCGGTACGATGGTAAGGGCCGAGTTTCTAATTACTACTTTCATATTTACTTATAATTATTTGCAATTAAAACCATTAATTCGTATTAAAACAGTTAACGTTATTCTAAGGGAAAATGTTTAAGTTTTAATAACAATAATTCTATTCTATTGATGATTAATTACATTATATATATATATATATATATATATATATATATATATATATATATATATATTATATAAACATTGAGCTTCATAAAAAAGTTTATTAGTATATCATAATCTTAAGAGCACTCTTCGTAGGTATCTTTTCTCACTTCGTTGCTGCACAAGTATAGTATTTTTGACTATTATCTCATTCATTCAATTCTAAACATAATCTTAAGTTAGGCTTACTTAATGTGGGATCGCTTGGTACAGGACATGACGAATTTCTCGTAGCTATGGATCGTTATTCTGTCGACATAATGGCGATTAATGAAATCTGGTTGCGAGAGGGCGAAGAGGGGCCTTACTGCGTGCCCGGTTATAGATTACGTCACGTTCCTCGCCCTTCCGACGTGCGCTCGCGCGGAGGTGGAGTGGGCTTCTACATACGTCGGGGCATTGCAGTCCGCACACTACCGCACCCCCCAGCCCCACTCGTAGAGCAAATGTGGCTTGCACTAACAATTAACGGTACAAAATTAATAATTGGTACTGCTTACAGACCGCCGTGGTTGAGTGTTGACATTTTTTTCGATGCTTTATCGGAAACTATCGGAACATTATCATGGTCTAATAATGTAGTTTTATTAGGCGATTTCAATATAAATTTACTAAATGATATGGATAATAACTGTAAGAAGTTGAAATTTTTTTTTCAATGTTATAAATTAAATCAGTGTGTTACTGAGCCTACCCACTTCACGGAATACAGTGAAACTATAATAGACCTAGTATGTACAGACATTCAATAATCACTCACTTCTGTGAATCATATACCGGAACTAAGCGGTCATGCATTTATTTGCTGCGAATTAAATATAAAAAAAACCGAAACCGAAACCGATTATTATATCGTGTAGAAATTTGCATGCGATTGATAACGAACAGTTCCTATTAGATTTTAAGTCTTTAAATTGGACCCGTTTCAAAACATTGGATAGCGTCAATGACATGGTATCATTGTTTAATACTATGTTGAAAACATTATTTACCATTCATGCGCCCGTACGTAGAAAATCATTAAAACACTTCCAATATCCTTGGATTACTTATAATATAAAATAATTATGAAAGTCAGAGATGAAGCAGGTGTTGTCGCACGTAAGTCAGGTGGTACAGCAGCCCAAAAATTACTTTATAAAGAGCTCAAACACTATATTGCACAAGAATTAATAAGAGAAAAGAAAGCTTACTACAATTTTTTATAAATAATCAAAAAGATACTCGCATCGTATGGTCACATATAAAAAAAACTTTAGATTAAAAACTAAGCTGGACCTGCCTCACTATATTTTCAACGACCCCGATTTGATTAATACAAGCTTTTTAAATGTATCTGGAAATAATCAAGTTCCTATTTCATATATGACATTCTTTAAATCACACGTCAAAGTCTCAAATGTATTCAAACTAAAGACAATTGAGGAAAGTGATATTGTGAAAATAACACATTCATTAAAGTCAAATGCGGTAGATGCAGACGGTATTTCCTAGGATATGTTGAAAATGTCTTTTCCCGTAACAATACCTGTTATTACGGAGATAATAAATAAATCAATTACAACGCAAACATATCCCTCAGAATGGCAGCACGCACTCATCAGGCCTATACCCAAAAACTCAAATCCTTTTAGCATGAAGTACATACGCCCGATTATACTCCCCTGTGTATCAAAAATCTTGGAGAAAGTCGTGGCTGAGCAGGTAAGAATATACTTAGAAACTAACGATGTGTTTCCCAGTCTTCAGTCAGGGTTTATAAAACACCACAGTACGTCAACCGCTATGATAAATGTTGTCGACGATATACTATCAGATATAGACAGTGGCAAAGGAACGATTTTAGCCTTGCTAGACTTTTCCAGAGCATTCTACTGTCTTAATGTGCCATTGCTTTTGTCTAAATTACATTATTACGGTTTCGACATATCTGCGATAAAATGGTTCAAAAATTATTTCGAGCATCGTACACAGCAAGTAGAAATATCAGACGAAAATGGGTTACCAGTCATTTCGAACGCTCAGGCTGTCAAACAAGGCATTCCGCAGGGATCTATCCTAGGACCTATTTTGTTTGCCATGTATTGTGCGGATATAACAAATTGTATTAAGCATTGCAAATACCAAATGTACGCGGATGATACACAGATCTATATACCTTGTAAACCGGGGGAAACTAAATTAGCGGTGGAAAAATTAAATGACGATCTCGAAAGAATTGTAGCTTGGTCAGATTCGAAGGCATTAGTCCTTAATGGAAGCAAGTCTAAATAAATGGTTTTAGGTACGGCTCAGCAAATACAAAAAATAGCAAAACATGAAGCTTAGGTAACGATAAGGAGCGAAAGAATTGAACGCGTGACTGAGGCTCGCAATTTAGGTTTGTTGATAGATGACAAGTTACGCTTTGAAAGTCACATAATAAACACTGCAAGAACTTGCTTTTATAGGTTAAAAGTATTATATCAAATTATAAATTGCCTAAATATCGATATGCGGATAAGACTGTGCGATTCTTTGATTCTGTCTAAATTTAATTATATGGATATAGTGTATGGCCCTCGTCTGTTTGTGCGTAGCAAGAAACTTGTCCAGAGAGTGCAGAATGCTTGTGCGAGATTTTGTTTTAAAATACCTCCCCGCGCTCACGTCACGCCGTACATAAACGAGCACAATATTTTAAAAATGCAGTATCGGCGAGAACACCACCTAGCCACATTTCTATTTGGATTAATTAAATATAATGTACCACCTTATCTTTATCAAAAATTAGAGTGGTCTCGCGACGTACAATCAAAGATCACTCGCTCGTCATGTTACTCTTTGGTTGTGCCCTTCGAGAAAGTTTCAAATATTCTGCATCTAAATGCTGGAATAACCTCCCGCCACCGCTTCGTAGTCTGAAAACATTAAATACATTTAAAACAAAATATAAAACTCACCTAATTATTATTCAAAAAGCTATGGCTTGATATTTACCTACCTAAATAATAACAGACACTTAACGCTGTCCGGCGGGGTCATACGGAAAGCATATGAGTGCATAGTACTTTTTTTTTGATACTTAAAGGCTGAAATAAAAGTGTTTTTCATGCTATTAATTTTAACTATGATACAAGTATATGTTTAACGTGCAATCATTATTGACTTTATTAAAATATTGTTTCTAATGATAATATTGTTGCTTAAGATTATGGTTATGATTACATACCTGTGAGAATTTTTTTTGTAGGGTACCATCATTCAGTGTTTCTTCTTTTATATTATTTCCAACTAATACATCATATATACATGACTCTTATGGTGATAACAATACTTTTTAAAATATTTCGGACACTCTTTGTATTAGATCCAGTTAGTTCATTTATGTAATCTATGTTAATTATTATTAGTCTACCAATGACGGTGTGAACGTCCGCACGTCACTTAATTCACAGGCCCACTGAAAACCAGCGCGCCTCGTATCGACTGCGGCATTAAGCTGAATGCGGTCTGTTTGCCGTGTACGCCACACACTTGAGTGCGTAAAATGTGTGATGTGTTTAATTTTTTTTATTCTTCTTTTTTTTTTCTTCTTTTTACTATGTATTTTTTATGTTTATGGTTTAAATGTACATGTGGCGTATTTGAGCAATAAATGTTTTCTTTCTTTCTTTCATACGGCCAGCAGTAAAGGACCACATTTTTTATAGGCTCCAATCGTTATAGTGGTTCATTAATTACAGGTCTTTAAAAAGTCCATAAGCGGTATTTTGCCTTAATTGGCACAGGCAGGCGGGTTCTAAATCGCAGTTTCAATTCCTAGTTGTTATCAGGAAGACGCTGCTGTCCATCTTCGCGTTGTTTTTAGAAAAGTATAGATTGGCGATATAGTAACTAGGGCGGGACCAAAATCAGAACACACCAATGTATGTGTAATGTGCATATGTAAGTGAC